CCCTCTTTCTTTTTCATTTTTTTTTTTTCCCCCTATCCCCGTTCCTCGCGTCAGCGGAGAGAAAGAGGCAGGGGAGCAAAGGACGAAAAGTTCACTCCATTGCCGCCGCTGACGCCAGCTTCTGTTCCCGCCAGCGCTGAAAGGCCTTCTCGCGGTGCTCATGCAAACGACGTTTGCGCTCCCGGTTCTTCGCTATGCGCTCCTGCTTGGCCATCATGATGCGCTTGCGTTTTTCCTCCCTTTCCTCCTTTGTAAGGACCCGCGACCGCTCCTCACGGAGCACCTGTCGTTTTAGGCGGTCATCAATCTTCATCGTCTCGCGGCGACGCCGTTTGAGGGCCCGCTCTGCGTCGGTCAAGTCACCGTTGCGGTACGCCACGAGAGCCTTGACAACCTTTGCACGCACCCGCTTTGCTCTCTTGTAAAAGGCGGCCTTCTCCTTTCGCCCCTGTTTCTCAAACTGTTGATAGAGCAGCTTGACCGGGACGGGCGCCTTTGTCTCTCTAGCGCGTGGTGTGAGACCGAGCAGCCGCTCCAGCGCCGCGAGGAGGCGAATGGACGCGGCGGACACTTGAAAGGCATCCTCGTTGACGACCTCCTCTACAACCGAGGCGAGCCACGCGGTGTCAAGGTGCACGCGGCTGTTGTACTTTGCCACCATCTTCAGACAGTGGAAGTAGTCGTACAGGAGTGTGTACTTCATCTCGTACACGCCCCGAACGGTTGTGGACTGCAGGAACGACGCAATGGCGGCGCCGGTGGCGGTCTTCAGCGACACGCCCAGGCCAGAGAGCCGTGGGAGCATCGCCTCAATCATCTGGCAGCAACCCTTAAACACACGCACGCGCTGCGGCCCCGCAATTCCCTCCACCTCGCGGAATTTCTCAAAGGCCGTGGGGAGCACCACCCAACCAAAGCCGTGGCGGTAGTGGTGCATGTCACGCTTGATGCCTGGCAATCGCTTTTTGTCGTCCCAGCCGCGGTCGCAGAAGATGGATTTGTAAAACTCCACAAGTGTCACACGGACGTCCTCATCGGCGTGGTTTTTATAGGCAAGGAAGGCGGTAAAGTGAAACACACGTAGAGCCACGTCCTTCAACAGGGCCATTCGGCGACGTATAACGACCGCGTGCTTAGCGGACTGGCTCTCCTTGCGCACCAACACGTGTTCTAACTTGCGGCAGAAGCTTTGGATGTCGGATAGCAGCTGAAACAACTCTTCCGGCGCGAGGAAGCGACCAAAGTATCGGTGCCTGGACATCATCAGCAGCTGAAGCGAGGAGATGGCACTATTGAAGACGACATCGTCCGGTGACTTCACATTTTCGCGGCAGACGGCCAAGAGCACCTGAAAAATGTGCAACATCAGCGGGGAACGCATCGATGCTCCAACACGCGCGGCAATTTGAATCGCACGCACAACATTGCTCTTATCCTTATTCGAGGTATCGACCGGATACACAAACTGCAGATCCACGTTACCAATCATGCCCTTGAGGGCGTCAACATACTGCTGCGTGGGGGCCTCTTCTTCCTCGTCGTCGTCCTCGCCCTCGTCCTCCAGCTCTCCCTCCATTGCAGCATCCGCGTCGCCGGCGGACGTCGTCTCCGCGTCATCGTCGTCAGCCTCATCGTCAGGCGCCGTGCTTTCCGTGCCTGTACTCTCGTCCGACTCACTTGTGTCGGACGTTGCATCCGAATCCTCCTCCCCCTCGTCCTTCTTCTCCTGCGGCTCTTCGCCGCCGTCGCTATGCTTATCATTATCATTGTATGCCTCGCCCTCGTCATCGTCTTCGTCGCTGTCGTCCTTGTCCACCTCGCCCCTTGCCTTTGCCTGCCGCGCCTTCTCCCGATCGTCGGTGTGGAAGGCCTCACGAAGAGGGGCAAGCACCAAGTCTAGCGTCACACGCTCCCGTACGTAGCGCGCGAACTTGAGCAGGTACCCAGTGGCAATGCGTCGAATGCATGCCAGCAGCGGCATCACGTGAATCGGCGCCGTTGACCGCATAACAAGTGACATCAACACATCAAAGAAGAGGTCAATGGTCTCTAACGAGCCCGCAAGGAAAAACTGGCAGAGGTCTGGCACAGTCGAGGTCGCCAACGCCTTCGCCTCTTCATTGGTGTGGTCGTCAGTGCTCAGGACCAAGAAAAGTAGCACAAGCAGTATGTGCATGTCGCGTTCCACGTAAAACAGGACGCTACGCTTCGAAGAATTCTCCAGTGCCTCCACAATGCGATTTCGCGCCTTTCGAAAAGCACTATGATTAAGCCCAGTTGTGTACCGCGTTTTTTCGCGCTGCTCCGCCTCAAGGTAGGCGCGAATAATATTCAAGGGAGGCAACGTACACTTTGGTCGTGACAATGCCGCTGCGTACGTGAAGGAGAAAACCTCTGCAAAAAGAAAAATGGCACGATTCATGCTGCGTGTGTCGCGGTGCGGCGGAGTTGGGTAGAAGCCAAACTCCAAAAGTGCCTCGGCGGCGTCGTCAATGTACGTGCACGCCACACCCTCACGAAGGGGAACGTACAGGCACGACCGCAACTCGCGCAAGATCCAGGTGCGGTTTGCATAGGCTGACGGGTCCGAGCTGCGCGTGGTGCGGTACTGCCGGAGGAGGTCATGCACCTTCGCGTCAAGCACATCCAGCGGCATCTGTCGAAGCTCTGAGATGTCAGTGGCCTTGGCGATCGTACGTGGGCCATATCCAACCGTTTTGCTGGCCATCTGCAACATCTCGGCTCGCTGCTCCGCATCGTCGTGTTGAACGGCCAGCTGACCGAGGCGAGAGACAAGTTGCTGAAACAACGCACGCCGTGGGGCGTCGGCGTTGCCACGGCGGTAGGGCGCAATGGCGTTATGCACCATCGTGCTCAAGTGTTCCCTCATCGACTCCCCCGCAGCGCAGCGCTGCGCCAGAATCTCGAACCAGTCCGTCCACACCGGGTGCAGCATCGGGTACACCATTGTGACTTGCTCCCTGCGAAACAAGGCGTTGGCAAGCTGCTCCACGGTGGAGGGCTCCAAGGGATCCAAGGCGGCGTACCTCAGCACCGCGGCGGGAACTCCCCTGGCTAGGCTCTGGGGCTTTTCCTCCATCGTCATGAGGCGCAGCAGCAGCTGGACACCCTCCGGGCGGTAGTACTCCAGCTTGGGGTAAAGGAAAAAGGCGTGCGACAACCAATACAACACCGTTTCATCGTCCCAGAGAGCCGGGAATTTCTCAAGCGTCATGAAAAGAATGTTCGCCGTCAGCACCCGCAAGGCCTTTTGCTCAATATAGGCGAAACACAAGTAATGGGCAAGGCGGCGTGCGTCTTCCTGCTGCAATTTACGGGCGTTAGCGACGAGCACCGCGGTTGCAAAGACAGTGGCGATCAGAGTTTGATTGCGTTCCCCCTTAGTGGGGTCATTGATTGCGTCAGGGTCAATGTCTTCCAACTCCTCGTCTGTCGGCTGCTGTTGCTGCGCCGCCGTCTGCGTCTTGGCCGCGCGTGCCTCAAGCCGAGCCTTGGCCGCCTTCAGACGAGCATCCAAGGCCAGTTCCTCACCAATGAGTGAGATAATAACGGAAGGTGTCACAGCGGTGTCCTGCAGTGTCAGGAATAAGGTGTGTGCATGCAAAAGAATCATTGCCATGTCTTCAGTAACCATTCCAAGTAGTAGCCGTGAGAGCGCGTAGGGAACGGCATGATGCGCCGTTTCTCGCAGACTTTTCAAAGAATGGCAGTCCGCATCTTCGGCCAACTTAGCCTTTAAATGGTTCACAAACGCATGCTGCCCTGCTCGACGACGCGCCGAATTGTGCCTTAGACACATTTGTAACAAGGCGCGAATGTGTTCTCGTTCTTTTACAGTCTTAGATAAAACGGCACGTGTTTGACTAACCTTGCCTTGGCTTTTTTCCTTATTGTCTTCTTGCTCCTCCCTGGCTTCCTCCTCATCGTTCTCGTCCTCCTCCGCCGCGGGTGCGCCTTGTCTGACAAATTCGTGCTTTTTTGCGGCATGACTATGACCTTTGCCCTTGTTTACCTCGTAGGAGGCCCACTCGTACCACATGATGAAGGCATGCACAGTGCTCGGGGCCCCGCGTTCAAACTTGCTCATGTACGAACGGAGGGATTTGACGTCGTCTGGCAGGTGCTGCTGCACAAAGGGCGCTGGGACGAGCTTGAAGACCTGGCCGAGGTCGTGTCCAAAGAGGTCCGTCGCATTTAGCCTGCACTTGAACCGTGACAAGTCCACGCGTAGCTCCGCCGAAACTTTGGCTGCCAGGTGGATGTCGATGTTTTTCGTGCGCGCCGAGCGTGGCGGCCTCCGACCCTCGCTCTTCCCTGCCGGATGGCCAGTGGGCTTGCCGTGGGCCCCGCCGCTTTTCCGCTGCATCACCTGCTCCCGGGCGTACTTCTGCTTGTGGTACTTCGTCTTCTCCTTCTTGATGCTGCCAGGTTTCCCCCGCTTCCCCGCGGGGGCACTCGTGCGCCGGGCGGAGGGCGGCATCTCTTCCCTCTTATGGGCCGCTTATTTCCCTGTCTGCTTCGCTTGCTCCCCTGCGCGGGAAAAAAGAGAGATAAAGAGAGAGGCAGGTGGAGGGGGGTGCAGCCACGACGGGGGCGTCAAAGAAAAAAGAAAAGAGGCCGTGCACCCGACCACAGCCACTAGAGCAGTGACGGAAAGACGGCATTTCGACACGCCTAGCGCTAGTACACAAGAAAAGCCCCATTCACGACGGTTCGGGGCCGTACCGTTCTGCAAGGGCGGTCAACAGGGTATTCTCATGCCCGCCAAACTCCATCAAGCTTGCCTCACTGGCAGAGATGGCAGAGGGATTGTAATGCGTCATCATACGCTTGATGCGCTGCCGCAGAGCCTCAGTCAGCGTGCCATTCCTCCCGGACTGGCCCAAAGTTTTGTTATTGGGACCGAATAATTTGTTGTAGACAAGGACGACCTCATGCAGGGGCAACATCAGCTTTTGCCTTGGCAGGAAGCTCGCTTGGTAGGCGAAGGAAATACTTCCACGCAACCTCTCCGCTCCAAGTCCCTCGGCTCCCGCCTTCAGGATCAGCTCCCCAAGTTCCTTGCACTACTCCCCGGTAAATAAACCTGCCTTTTCGTAATCAGTGCTTTGGGCTTAACTTAGCAAGTGGTAGCATCGTTGCTTATCCATGCTGTACGTCAGTGCCGGACCCCGTCCATGCATCGGGATCCACAAGCAGAGAGCCTCGAAGGAAACGTCGCCATTCTCGGTCGACTGCACTGCCATTTGAAATAAGTCAATCACATCATCTGGGTCACTTGGCAGGTTCAGGTAGCGAGGCAGCCTGCATGCATCACGCCACTGTAGCTCCAAGTTGCTGCGCGTCGCAGGCAGCTTGGCAAATACCAGCCAAATATCCAGCAGAACGTTAAACTCGTGTCCGGCCAAGCCGTACTCGCTTGCGGTGCACGAAGCTGTCTCACACCACCGTGCGACGCTGCCCACCGCAGGCAGCAGGGGTGAGGCAGACCTCAGAAAATTCGGAAATTAAATTTACAGGTGAATTTCGGGGCCGCCCCTCATGCGACCCAAAGCTTGACTGGCGTTGTCCGGCACCCGCTGCGTCGGGCGCCTTCACCCAAAAGGTGCCCCTGACCAACGCGAGCGCCGCATGCCGGCATCGGCGCCGACGCCTTTGAAGCAGAGGGTTTTGTGCTGCATTTCACGTGCTCGCGGTTGAGCTCCTCGAAGGCGCCGACCCAACTGCACGCGCCGCACCTCCCCCGGTAAAAGCCTTCTCTCCCCACTGGGCGTGGAGCACGCGGGGCACTCACGCATCTCCTTCACACACCGCTCACAGCAGAGATGCCGGCAGGGAAGCAGCTCGCACGGGCCCACCCACTGGCACACACGCCACGCTCGCCAAAGCCCTGATCGGAGCTAGAAAAAAACAACAACAGGCTTCGGCTGCCGCGTGGAGCATCGAGCCCGCCATCCCTGCCACAGCTCAAATCACTGGAGGAAAAGGGAAAAGAGCAGAGCCCAATACCAAAGCCATCCGCAGGAACGCAGGACACCGTTGCCGTGCGAAGCGGCAACAAGTAAAAAAAGTAAGATAGGCATCGAGCAGGGCCACTCAAAATAAATAAAAAGTAAAGTGTGAAGTGCTTATAATTCAAAATAAAAGTAAAAAAAATATAAAAAAAGGCTAAACGAAATCCGCTCCGCAGTGTTGCGGAAGTTATATTAACGCTCAATGGGCACTCTGTTTCCCTGCACACGCAGCGTGGAAAAAGAAAAAGAAAACGTGGTCAATGGGAAAGAGATATCTTCTGAATTACGGGAAAGTCTGTAATTAGAAATAGGAGAAAGGGACGTGGGAAAAAATAGAAAAAAACAAAATAAAACAGTGGTAACAATAAGTATCCACTCTGTCAAAAGGATAGGATCTGCTCACATTGGCTGCGAAGCCGTCAAAACCATGTCAGCCAAATCCCCAGTTCCGTTGGCACTTCCTGCCTTCACCACTCCATCCTTTTCGATCTGTGCCGTTGCCGCTGCGTCCACGGCTGCGTCCACGCCAGTGGAATCTGTTGAATCCCGCACTTTCTCCTCGAGGCGAGGGCACTTGGCAGCGGCACCGTCAAGCTCCTCATTCTCTGCAGCGGCACTGTCACGCTTCCTGCTGTTCTCAGCCTGCGGTGGCTGCGTCTTTTCGCCCCCGTCAGCGGCCTCTGCTTCCTTGTCCGTGGCGCTCAGAGCACCCTCAGCTGCGGCCGGGCATTCCGCCGAAGAAGGCTGCGCAGTCTCTGCAGCCTCGGCAGCGCCATCCGTCTCCGAGGGCGCGTCGAGGCCCTTCTTCTCGGCCTCGGGGGCGCCAGGGCACGCAGCCTCGGGCGGGACCGCCTCGGCGTCGTGGATCGGCGTCGCCTGGTTTCCGTCGAGCGGCTGCTGGGACATTGTAGCGTGGGGAACGTCGGCGGATCTAACCGGGCGCCAGTTCAGCGTTCGTGGCGGCAATGCAGCAGAAGGAGAAAAGAAAAAAAACAAAAGTAAGGAAGGAAGAAAACATAAAGCGGCGCCATTGCAAAGAAAATAAAGCAAGTAAATAGACATTTTACCCCCTCCCTTTTTTTTGTTACCGCCCAACAGTCGAGACGCCGGCCGAGGTGAAAGCGGCGCGGGAGCCTGCACAGAGGTGTATGTCGCGGTGCACTGAGGCGCAACGAGAACAACTGAGAAAACGCCCTCCTCCAAAAGGAAGAAAACAAACAAACAAACACTCACACACTCACACACACACACATTAGGCGGTAAAGAGCAACAGTGAGAGTTGGTAACTGTGAGCAGCCAGCACATCCGCCTCGGTAACCATACCGTGCGCACTGGCTCTCACTGCAGCCGTGGACCGCAACACGGAGATAGTGCGGCAGCAAACCTCCGAAAATTTGACCACCGTCGCGGCAGGGATGTACTCTAGCATCAAGAGAAAGCGAGTGAAAGCTGTTGCATACGCAGAGGATTGGGACACCTCTCCGCACAAGTGTAAAGCGGCTGCGGCGGAAGGGAGAACAACACTGCAATCTCCAGGATGATCCGTTTTGGCGTGTGCCGTCGCCTCCTCGAAAAGGGTCGCCTCACGCAGAGCCAGCAGGAGAAATTGCATGGAAGCCGCAACAAGCCGCTCACGAACGGTGGATGAAAAACTAGACCTTCGATGGGAGTTGGTTTTCAACTCACGTTGCTTGGAAAGGAAACGCCACACCGGCGAGTCATCTCCAGCGCAGAAGAACTCGTCATCGTTGAGCCGCAGCCAGGCTCTACTCTCCAACGGAGCAGAAGCAAAAAATGCTGTGCTGTGATCCGCCGCGGGACTCGACCCAACGCCAAACACCATCGCGGCTTGCGACTCAAAGTCTGCCATGCGCAAATGCGATACCGCTAGAAGCCAGTAGCGACGATGCCTCGGCAGGGCGCCCTCGCCGGAAGCCACCCCGCGTGTCGACTGCGTCCCCGCCGCGTACAGTGAGACGACTTCCTCGACCGCGTTCACCGACTCCTCAGTGAGTACGCGTGAGAATCCGCGTCGTGCAGGTTTCAGTGGCGCACCGGTGCCAGCACGAGCAGGAGGAGGTGTCGACGTCGGACTTCCCTCCAACTCCCCGCGGAGTGCCTGTGAAACGGACTCAAAAAAAAGATGCAACGATGGGGTCTCCTCAACCAGGCAACCAAAGGCACAAAGGCAAAAAAATACATCCTCAAGGGCCAGAACGATGGATTGCGCAAGTGATGCACTGCGCCGTGCAGCGGCAGCATCTTCAGAAATACCCAGCGGACCATCTCGGGCCCCCACGCCGTCTACGAACCCCGACGATCCAACGCAGCGCACCATGGATGCAAAGTTTAATGCCGCGCACAGTGGCGGAGGACGCACCAAGGCGAGAGGCGCCGTGTCTTCACCTGAGTGTCGCTCAAAGATGTAGGAAGACTGGTCAAAGAACGCCAACTGGAGATGTGGCAAACTCGACTCGTGGGGAAGCAGCGCACATCGAGTGCGATCCAAATGGAGGAAGATACGCTCCGACGCCGCCTCTATTAGTCGTGACAACTCCACGGATAAGCCATCGGCAACACTGGGGGCCCCAAATGGACGCTGCACCGCAAAAAATAGGCGCACAACACTCAGCTGTGAGAGCACGCGTTGCAGTTTTAAGAGTGGCTGCGTGCCGACAAAGAAAAGGGGGACACTACGTACAAGATCTTGGAGAACTACACAGATCTCGGCCAGTATTATCAGGTCGCTTCGATTGCCCTCCTCCCAGTGCCTCATTGAGAAGGGGATGGTGAGGTCGAAGAACGGTGTGGCATCGGCGTTGCCCCAGCGCTGCAGTGCCTCAGCAAGCCCCGGCAGGCACGTCATCCAGCGCTTCAGCAGCAGAGCGTAAACGGACAGGACCACATCCACAAATTTTTGGGCAAATGCGGCCTCAGAGGCGTCTTGTGGGTCCATTGCAAGAAATGCATGCGACAGCCAAGACGGCGTCGTCCGTGCGGTGCTATTCAAGGCGGAGGTGGGCGATAGAGCCACCGCGCCACTCGTTGTTGCCTCCGCCAGCAGCCAAATCCAGCCGTCAGCAGGCTGTAAAAAGAGGGTTGTTTGGGGGACCGCGTGCAGTTGAGGAATCCCCGACGTCTCCGCTGAAGACGCCGCTGCCGCCGCCTCCAACTGCCAGAGTTGATGCTCCGCATTGTGCACAATGAGGGAAAAGTGGGAGCTCAACGTGGTGTCCAGTTCTTCCTGCAGCTCGGCGTGAGCCCGCAGCAACTGCACGACCTCGCTACTTGACAGGGGCGGAGCGGCATCGCCAGTGGACCGCCGCTCCTGTTTGGCTCGCAGCAGCAGCAGGTCGGACCCCACGAGGCGGAGCAAAGTGATGGCGCAAAACAGGAAATTGATCAACGTTGTAGAAAGACAGCGCTCGACTGCGCCGAAATTTGGGCTCGCGTGAAGGCGCTGAAGAAAGACAAACACAGAATTCAACGCCGCGGGGACGAGCAAGCGCAGCAGAGCAATCCCCTCCCTGGCAGAGAGACGGGTGCCGCCGCAATGCTCGTGGCACGCTTGAGTCACCGCCTCCACCACCGCCTCAGCGCTCTGCTGAACGGCCTCAAGCGACTGCCGCCCTATCGCCAGCAGCAGACAGCGGAGGCCGTGGGCGACGACCTCCGCCACTAAGGAAGCACCCTGCGGTGAATGCATGCGACGCAAGCAAACTACCCCACCTAACAAACTGTACAACGACGATAGATAAACCACACTAACAGGGCCAAAAATCTTCCTTCCTTTTTTTTTGTCTCTTGTAAAACTATTCCTTCCCTCCTTTCCATCCCTTTGCCAGAACGAATTGGAGGGAAGGAGGAAGAAACAAGACCCGGGACAACAAAGGTACAGAGGGGCGTGTGAGTAACGAAGGAAGAAGAAGAAAATGCGTACAACCACCGTCCCCGTTATGAAATTCCGCCCCCTTCACTCTCACTGCTTCAGGCACACCCATTCTTCATTTGGCTCGTGCCTTTGAGCACTCGATAGCTGCGCAGCGTGCAAATACAGGCACACAAACAAGAACACAAAATGAAATACTTCTCAACTTTTACACCAGTTTTTTTTTCTTTTCGGCTCAACGCCTCCGAAGCAACTTTAAATGCCGCCGCCAGCTGGCACACCTCCCGATTGTGGAAAAAGACTCAGAGACAAGACTTCTTCCTGCCACAAACCCAACGCCCCCGCGGCCGCTGCCGGCTTGTCGTTTCGGTCCAATGACTGCGGAGGTGGGCCCAGCACAAGACTCAGCGTTGCAGTCTGCAGCCCCCCACGGCTTAGCCTCGCCTTGGGGCAGCGACCGCAGCGAGAAAAACTTCCGCGTTCACAAGTCTGTGCAGCATGCCTCCGCCTCCTTCTGTGTGGTCCGGGCCACCACAATTCTAGTTGCGCATGTCTCCTTTTTCCTGCTGTCCGCTATGCCGATGAGCGAGGCCCGCACGGTCAGGAGGGGAGAAACAAACGAAAAAGGGGAAAAACACACACACAAGAAAGCAGAATTACCATCCATGCCTTGATCCTGTTCGCATGCAACAGCCAGTAGGAGGTGAACGTTCATCGTCACACAACGCATGTGTCGTCCACCCACTTCCTTTTTTTTTGTCTCTGTTGCGTTCGTTCTCTTCGTGTAGTCGCTTGTCTCTAGGAAGGTGTGTATATATATACCGGAGAAAAAAAACAAAAAACAAACAAACACGCAAACAAAATAACCCAGCGGGAAAACGTCATTCCAAAGCACGCCCCCTCTCACCCCTGTCCCCGCAGCTGCAACAATACACGCGTATAGACGCATGTGCTCATTTGTGTACATGTGCGGCTCTTCTTTGTATCCTACGCAGCTCAGCGTGCTCACTGCTCCTCGGCCTCCGCAGCCTGCAGCCAGCGCCGATTCCTTCTTAGAGGATACGACGACGCCTCAGGAAGCGCAGGACAATGACGTGGCGACAGAGCGCAAATGTTCTCCTCACTCGGTGTTGTATTCTGTTGCTATTATTATTATTTTCTCCTTCTCGCCATCCTTTTTTTTCTTTTCTTTTTAATGCGTAACTTTCCCTCGTCGCCGTCCCCCTTCTCCTGCTGCCTTCTCTCCGTGTTGCGTTTCCTCTCGGTTTTGTTTCTGCAGTGGGTGTTTCATTTCCGCCGCCCCGGAGTCCCCGCGCCCCCTGCCAGCGCCCCACCACTGCCGCAGTGAAGCGGCGGAGGTGGCGCCGCGGCACGCCGGCTTGGGGGCGTCGCGGGGGAACAGCCGCGGCGGCGGACAAAACGGGTGAAGTGACCGACCGCGGCGGCACGCCCGGCATTTCCATCCACCCACACGCACAGCACCCAGCAGCAGAATTCCACCTTGCACACATCTTTTTTTTTCTTCTTCATTCAGTCATTCGGCATGTTTTATTGTAGCAAATGCGGCGGCGACCCTCGCGCTTTCTCCCTCTCTTTCGCTGCCTCCCTGCGTAATGAAGAAACATTTTCAGAGCTACTTCTTCTTCTTTGACGGGGACGAGGAAGAGTTGCGCTGCAGCAGCGCCTCCTTGTATTTATGGTGCTCGCTGCTGATGTAGTCCGGGTCGTATCCCTCGCCCTTGGTGCCAACCTCCACCCGCCGCCGGGATGCGCCCGCAGCACGCTTAGCCTTCAGAAGCGCCACAAGGCCCAGCTTCGAGGCCAGAAAATACGCCGCCCCGCCGAACAGCCCAAGCAGCGTCACATAGGTCAGAAGGGTCCGCGGATCCGTCTCAAGCGACTCATCTACGGTCACAGTGTCGTTAAAGGCGGTGGCAAAGTAGGTGTTGTTGGTGACGTTGTCGTGGAAGTAGAGGCCGAGAATGAGGTTGTAGTCGGTTGGCTCAAGCAGGTGGTCGGGGGTGAAGCTATACTGAAAGCTTGTGGTGTCGCTGGGCTGCACGACGCGTGCGTGGCGAACAATGGAGAAGTTCTGAATCACCTGGCTGTAGTCATTCACGGGGGTGATGTACCCGGCGATGAGCACGACGGTGTGCTGGTGGCCCAGTTGACTGTTGCGGTACGCGATGAGGGCGTTCGCCTTCGAACCGGCGGGCAGCGTTGGCTGCAGTTTCATGGGATTGTCGGGGAAAATGACACGCGCGGAGGCCAACGGGTACCGCCCAGCTTCGTCGCCCACGCTCTCGTCGTCGTCGTCGTCGTCGTCGCCGCCGCCGTCGGCACGACTCGTGGATGCGGCGTCCTCCGTCCCAGCCGCAGTCTCTGCTGCCTGGCCCTCTCCCTCCGCCGCACGCACGGCCGGGGCCGCGGTTAGGCAGAGGAGCACAAACACGAAAAGCAGCGGCAAAAGCACCGCGGGAAGCAAGGAGCGCATCTGCCCTTTCTTATTTACTGCAATCAGTCTGCTCTCAACAACGCGCGGATTGGGTTCAGCAGGCAAAGAGAATAATAAAAAAAAAGTAGCCACAACGCAAACAGCGACAATTACACAAAATATGGAAAGAGCCACGCATGAGGCAAAGAGAACCACATACGCCATTCATACTATATATATATATATAGGTATACCCTCTGGTCGGCATGTATTTATTTGGCACACGACAACACAGGCACGCAGTTAGTTTGGGATTCCGTACAAGAGCAGGCACGTGCATGGGCGGAGTGAGTGTAAACACACTGTACTCGTGCGTGTACGTAAGTGCGGCGGTTAATGGGCCGATGCCCTTGTTGTTTAATTCCGAATGCGTGCACGGGCGCGTCTCCAGCTCCATGCGGCGCCCCGCACTTTCCAGCCGCGGGGCGCATCCGAGCCAGAGAGAGATCAACGCGCGCGCGCACACACACACACATATACACAACGCGGTGACGCTTTTTTTTCTTTTTAATTCTGTCCTTTGCACCTTCGCCCCTCCCCTCCCTTTTTTTTCTTTTCTTTTCGGTTTTCGGCACCATCGAATACGCCTTGGCCTTCCGCCGCTTAAATTCTCAGTTTCCCACCGCTGCTTTTGCCCCTATCGACGGCGTTGTCAATGATGTCATGTGTGCGCAGGTACCGCCAGGAGCAGCGGTCCACGCAGTGCACTTCCTGCATGGAAAGCTCGTTCTGCGTCAGATCCTTGCAGCAGAGGTTGAAGCACTCTGACTGCAGGCGGCTCATGAGCACCTCAAGGCGGAACGACTCCTTCTTCACCTCCAGCTGCATGCCGCGGCCACGCCCTCAAGCACCTACTAATGTACACTGGTGGACCAGACACAACAGAAGCAACAGTGAAAAGAACTAGTCCCCCTCGCGCCTCCCCCATTCCAACAAAAGGCAGAAAAACACAAGCAAGCACACCTCGTGTTTCACTCCACATACACACGCACACACATATATATATATATACATGCTGCGACGTGGGATGTGTGCGTGTGTGTAGGGCACGTGTGGGAGACGACGGTGTTGAGTCAGTGAATAAACTCACAGCGCCCCGGTAAACGTACGAGCCCCCCACCGTCCCAACACGCCGTGCAAATACCAACAACACGGCAGCCCCTCCCCCCCCCCCACCTGGAGAGACGTGCTTGCTTGTAAGGAAGGAGAAGTCAACCAGAGGAGCCCATCTCCGTTACATCGGCAGGATCACTGTCGCGGTTTCATTCCCCCGCACACCCACTTTTGCCTGTCGTGTTTGCTTTGCCTTGCCTCAGACTCCCTCGCCCCCGCGCCCATCACGCAGAGGTTGTCAACCCCCCCCCCTCTTCTTCCTACGCCCACTTCCCAGTTCCTGTGAACAGTGGATAAAAACGCCGCCTCCTTTTAGTTTTTTCCTCTTTTTTTCTTCTTTTCGTTTTACCTCTTCTTCCTGTTTCGTGTATTCATGCAACATGCATGCATGGCTCCTTCCACTTCTACGCTTTACCCCCACGTCTCTCCCCGCCCCGCTCGATAGTGTGGGATACCCGCGGCGTGCCGCCCACGACAGTCCATGCACACGCAGCTGCCGCACCCACGACAGCAACACTCAACGCAATCAAATCAAGCAGCAATGACGTTGATTGATGTGAACAGTGGCAAAATAACAACGCCATGTATGCAAACACACACACACGCACCCAACAACAACAACAACAAAAGCAACAACAATAATAATAGTAATCATCCATTTTTTATTTTTACTGCTTTGGATCTCGTTACCTAAAACAACTCGGCGGACCAAGTCGTAGATGCATTGAGTGGACGGCCAAGTAGATATGCGCGCGAGAGCGAGCGAGCGAGAGGGCGATGGACAGAGCAAAGAAAACACACGTGCGGGGGTCCACCTTCGCCCTCACCGCCTTGCGCAGGCATATCCTCCCGTAAGACGCATTGCACGCTCTTTGAACCCTCTCGACCCCTCAGCGCACCAGAAATGTCGCGAAGCGAGCGGAGATGACAGCAAGACCCCCGACTACTCTTTCGCATACTATGACACACGTTGAACTATTCTGCAGGCTCATGAAATCGGCAAGCAGCGAGACACTGAGACTCCGCGCCAGCAGCGTTGTAACGGTGTGTGTCAGGGCACCATCGAACAGGTCCTCCGTCGGCAGCGGAGACCCCGACGACGCAGAGGCTCCGAGCAGTGCCCCAACTGCCAACGGCGAGGTTGCCAGCCCGCGCGCCGTGCAGGAGAGCGCCGTGGGGCGAACGTACCCCGTCAGCAGCGGGCTGCGACATGCGTTCAGATGCCGCTGGGTGAGGCTGCGGCCCATGAAAAAGACACTCCGACGCATTGTCCTCCCCAATTCTCCTTAATTTAATTTTACCTTCTCCCTTTCCGCCTGTTTTGCCCCCGAGTGCGGTGCCTTGTACACGCGCCTCCGAGAATAGCAGCAGAGGCAACAATAAAATAACGCCAAGAAAAAAAACAAATTACTTGTTATTATTGTTATTAGTAATAATAATAATGGCGACAGTTAAATTTCAAACCGAAGCAGTTGAAGGCCACACGGAGGTGCAACTATGAATGAGCGAATTTGCGTCAACTTGAATGCGCATATATACGCAAAGTAAAATATGCATGTGAGTGAGTGAGTGAGTGAGTGAGTGAGGAGGAAAGCCCATTCAAGTCACAACGAGAACAAAGACACGGGTGATAAAAAAAGAAGAATACTTGCGCCATTCCATGCTGTCTTTTTTCCTTTTTATTTTCGTCCTTCTCCCTCTTCTTCAACTGGCTGTTGTTCCGCGCTTGTGTGGGGCGTCGGGTCGGTGGCGATGTACGAGATGATGGCGCTTCCCGGCTCTCGCCTCTCGCTGCGCACGTCAAACCACATGGGCAGCTGACGGGCAATGTGTTCCAGTGTCCCGTAGCGTCGCATTAGCAACCGTGCGTCTTTCGACAAGTGATTCATGATACTCGCCTCCTGGGCACCGCCGATGGAGAAGAGTGCCATCTGTCGCACGAGGTCGCTTAGGGAGTGGCACGGCGGCTGCAGTAGGTGGGCCGGCGGTGGGACGCCGTCACGCCTGCCCAAAATGAGTGTGTTGGTCCCAAGCACCTCGTACACGCGGAAGCATTCCCTGTGCCGCTCAAAGAAGTCCTGGCGCAGGTGACGTGTCTCAAACGGCAGTCCACGTGCCTGGGGATGCAAGCGAAATCGATGCCAATCCACCGGGTGACCCAACGGCAACACCTCCATCAGCATTTTAGCTTTGAGGGCCTCAGTCAAGTGGCGCCCCGACGAGGCGTTGCGTGCAGACGCGGGGACTCGGGCCCCCTGCGACGCGGCTGCAAGATACGGCGTCCAAATGAGACCGTCCTTGACAAATAAGTAGAGAGAGTGGTGGGCGGCAAAGTCCAGCACGGAGGCATAGGCGCACTGCAGCTGCTTTCGCGAGGCGGAAGGCAACGTGTTAGGGAACTCCTCAGGGGAGAGCGGCTTCTTCTCAAGAGCCATGAGACTATGGCGCAGCACCACAGGAACCGGTGTGGTTTGCCATGTCAAACTGGACGGCTGCGCGTGTGCGGGGAGGACTTCCCAGGGACGAACCATGTACGCAGCCATGTTGACGTCAAACAAATGGCGAAGGCGGTCAAAAACAAAGATACAGGCTGCATCCTTATCTGTTGAGTTGTACAGGTGCAGACGCTTCACGAGTTCCGCTGGGAGAATATCTTTCAGCTCAGTCATGGCAATGCCTGACCGTAGACGCCGCAGCTGGTCTGGGCCTTGAGCCGCGAAGGCGCGGAAGGCCTCGATGAGCGGTGCCCCCAGCGGCAACACCTCAAAGTCCGGGGAAAGTCTTGTTTCAGCGTTCACGTAGGGCCGCCGCTCGGCATCCATCATGCGCAGAAAAACGTCGTTCGCGCCGTCTCCAATGACGCGGCAGTCGAGCATGTTCGCCGGAACACGCTGCAACTCCTCTAAAATATCCTCCACCGGCATTCCATGAGAAAAACACATGTAACTTCTTGAATGTCGCGTGACGAAGCTGAGCGGGACGTAGTAAGAAAACGGGACGACTCCCTGCAGAAGCGCCAGCATCTTATTCATCTTGGCATCCTCCACCACCGTGCTGGAGGTGACTGGTGGCTCTGGCACCGCCTGCTGCAGCTGCGTCGTTCGACCCGGCGACGGCGGTGGCGCAGACGCAAGGCCCCTCTGTTGCACAAACGACGTTGGCGCCGCCTTCACAACGCCGTTCTGCACCGTCAGCAAGGATGGGTGCTGTAGCAAAAAGGACTCCAGGTACTGCTCGTTGCCGCACCTGCGCTGCTCCAACGCCGGAAGGGCGCGGAATAGTTGCGACACAGTCATCTGCTGCTGCGGGGAAGCCGCCAGGTGGGCGAGGGCCTGCGCAACGATGGGCAATCCGGGGCCGACGCCCCGCAGCTCGGCCGCCAGCATGACAACCGTGACGCCGGAAGGCAACACTTCGACCCGGAAGCGTGAGGGGCGCTCTTGCAGATAACGGCGTAACCCGCCGGAGACGTTTGACAGAGTTTCAAGCAACTCGTCACTGAGCAGTGCAGTGATGCGGGGAAGCGGCAGGGCCCCGTAGCGTCGCAGCAGAGCACGCGTGTGGTCGCCCAGCGTCTCGTCCCCCTGCGACGCCAGACGCCAACGCATGGTACACCGCAACGCCCCAGACGCCGACACCCACACAGGCGAGCAAAAACTACGCATTTCCCCGCCAATATTCTATCAAACCCCCAAACAGCGGAGGAAAAAAAATATGCTGTTGCCCCTTTTCTTTTTGTTTTCGTCTCTTATTTCCTTCTCGGTGCGGTGAGGGTCCCGTGCTGTCGCCTTAGCCACACACGCACGCGTGGGCGTCCCTTTCCCACCACCGCCGCGTAAAGGAGCAGAGCCCTGTTGGCACAGACGGTAGCGCGTTAACCAAAAGCACAGAGGTGTGTGTGCGTGTGTGTGTGTGTGTAGGAGGAGGAGTGAAGGGCGGTGAGCGTGCACACCAGCAGCGGCTTCCAAGGCGCAGGGTGTGGAGGAAACGCTCGGCCCTGGGCCTTGTGGCAAGCAGGGCGGCGACACGGGAAAAAAACAGGAAGAGGTGGCGGTCGCCAGCGAAAAAGCAGAACAAAAAGCACCCACAACGAAGGCAAAACAAAAACAAAAGTGAGCCTGTAATCGTAACCACCCAACGTTGGGAAAGTGTTAAGATGCGAATGAAGAAAGATTTCTTTGTTTTTCCTCTTCTTTGTTTACCAGTCTACCAACCCCTTTCCTCCATTGTGTTCCACGGTCCCTGTGCGTTTCGCGTTCACTCGCTGTGCCTCTCCCTCGCTCGCCTGCATTACGCCAGGACCCTTCACAAGGTCTCCTGCAGGAAGTGGAACAGGCTCTGCCCAACAGCCATGCCGAGGCCAACACGCAACGAGCCCCAGCCAATGTTCAACCGGCTGTTTACCCAACGCCACGTGGCAACCGGATACCGCTTCCGCCGACGCGCTCGCGCCAAAATTCCTCCCCGAATGTGCTGCAACGCCCTCAGCACCCGGCTGCGTGGGTACGCGCCGCCGCCGCCACCACCGCTGCCGCCGCCGCTGCCATGCAGGGAAGAGTCCTTCTCCATTGACTCGGCAAAAATGGTCTTCGCCCCCGTGAAGCTCTCACCGCGGAGGTAGATGAACCGCACCTGGTAACAAAAAGAGCGAATTAGTGACATGCAGCGCATTGGCTCCGAACCAGACGGAGCCCCGTAGATCACAGTACGTGCATAGTTCAGCGGCGAACTGACTACGGAGGCAAGCAGTGCTGCGACAAGGTTTGAGACAAACGCGCATGCGCCGCACTTCTCCTGCTTCCACAGCCCCACACGTCCGCCACTAAGCTCGCCGGAATTATTCTTAGCATTGGGGTGAGCCTTTAAAGAGGCCTCCTCCGCCGACAACGCAGGGCGACAGTCGGGTGGCGCTTGAAGTCTCCGCAGAAAGTTTGGGGTCCTTTCTGCCGAGACAACGTAGGGGTAAATAACATCCTTTACGACGGTGGAACGCCGAAGCGACTCGTAGACGATACCAAAAACGCAGTCACGCAACGCTGTCGCGCCAACGCCGCGCAGAAAGATGCGCATCCCATTCTCCTTGTACGCCTCCACGGCAACGCTCAGAAACGAGGCGTTTCCCTCGACATTCCACATGCGATACTTTACAACCTGCATTCCATTTAACACCGCACCGTTCACAGAACCGGCCGTTGCGCCAATGAGAAAGGCGTTTAACCTTGGGGATTGTGAGGCGTGGAAGCAGTCCGGCGTCTTATTCTCAATAAAAATTCGGGCAGAGTCCTGCCAGAACATGTAAGAGGCGCCTACCAGCGTGCGATAGACGGCGGCGTTCATGAAGCCCTGAAACGGTTGATCAAAGTTACGTCGGTCCAAAAAGTGCTGGCGGCGAAACTTCACCCGCACGTAAAGGGCTCTATCGAAGGGGTTAAACAAAACCGCCTGCGCTGCGCCAGAGCAAAGCGCAGGAAATGCCGTGTTGAAAAAACTCTCCTTCACCCTTTCATTGTCTTTACTCATGGGACCCAGCTGCAGTTTAAGTTCCCAATTAAAAACATACACGGGGTTCCTTAGAACGTACCCCTTCTGTTTTCGTTGCTACTAGCGCCGCTGCCTCTTCCACACCCACCTCCTTTTTTTTCTTTTTTTTTCCAGGAAAAATAAAAAAAAAGAAAATAGCCTTCGTTCCTGCCTTGCCTGCTTTCGCCCTTTTTGCTCCGTCGCGTCCGCCCCGCTCCCCTTCCTCCTTCAGAGTCGCGGTGCTGGGTAGTGGCAGGAACCCCGGCACACCTTCGCACTCGGCGGCACCAACGCACGCAGGCAAAAACAACAAAAGAGTAGGCAAAAGAAAGCACGTCAATAATTACCTCCGGCTTCAAAGAAATCACCCATGCGTACATAGAGATAGAGAGAGAGAAGAAAAAAAACGAGGGACAATGACGCATGGAAATACACCGCGCGCCTCTATAAAAAAAGTATATATATATATATATA